CTTCCCTTCCCTTCCCTTCCCTTCCCTTCCCTTCCCGCTGGATGTTGAAGTCCAGGCTTTGCTGTGGGTTTTTAAGTGTAGTCTGTGCCCCCTTCCCTCCTCAGGTGGAGGAGGCAGGTCTTACTTCATGAAAAAAATAAAATAGGTCTGTTTGGTAAACATCGTGGTGTGAAATACTGGGGAGTAGTAGATCTATAAACATGTCTATGAATAAAAGCAATGGACAGGTTTTATGTTTTTTTAATTAGGATCTTACAGTGTCACACCAAGACAAAGCACAAAACCGTCACATTTTTTTACATTGTCATTGCAAAACCCAGCAAAAACACAAGCGCAGTTAGTAGAACTCCTTAAAAGCAGATTTTTTTTCCTGGTTGCATCTCAGCACCCTGTTTTTGTGGTTTTCACTGGAGAGCTGTGTTCTTATTCATCGTGGCATGACGACAAAATTCTCACTTTTTTAATGGAAGGAAATTTGGACTGTATGTATTCATCCTACAGATAAATTATTCCAGTCTTCCTCTAAAGCAGTGAAATGATTTCAAGGCAGATCTTTTCAACAAAATATTAAGGCTACCCTATGCAGAAATCTGTTCTGAAGCAATAGCACGAACTGTCATGCCAAACCCTGATCCATGGTGCTGTTCACATACTCCATTTATACTGAGGTTAATATTTGGGAGTCTTGAAGGGTTGCCTTGCACGGAGAGCAGGAAAGAAAGAAAAAGGAGACTGGTTCTCATGCCATGTCTGATCTTGTCTTACAGTATTTCTCATGAAGTTGAGGTGGTCAAAAATAAAAGTATCCCCCATTTTGTTTGTATTAAAATTGTGAGAAGAAGTTAGAATCAAAAGGCATGCAACAGCTGATGTCAGGCAGGTCATGTTTCCTGCTTTAGATTTGTGTTACTGTCTGTAGCTCAGTTTAAGGTCAACCAGAAGGCAGCAAGACTGTTTTTGTTGTGCCTTGGAAAAAATCCACAGAGTCAGGGTATGCAGCCTGAAGCCAAAATCAGATTTTATTCATGCTGGTTATATAAATTACAGATATTACCAAGCTATATACAGAATTGCTCTTCTTTTTTATTTTCTACATGATGCTTGCTGAACTTACATGCAGCTTGCTTTGAATCACTCCGTGTAATGGATAGAGATGTGCCTGTTTCTTTGAAATTCACTTCCATGTATCACAAAAATATCTCATACTTTGTTTCCGCTCACTCACTTTCAACTAACCTAAATAGCATGGGTGAAAGGAGAAATGAAAGTAAAATCTATGTCTTACTGATCCAAGGAGGTTCTGTTTTCATCACAGAAGTCTCATTTATACCTGCTTGAGAAAGCTGTAAGGTGCAAATGTTCAAGGGTTTGTGTTTTAAGAGCTTTGCATGCATTAACCATGTGTGGGCAAAGCTTGCATTTTGATTGAGCCTGCATTTGTGAAATACAGTGGTCTTGGCGTTGCCTGTTTATTATTCTATTAACCGAGGTTTTAGGGATAATACTGGGGGAAATAAAACCAAAACAACAAAACCAAACAACCCAAACTCAGCAGTAAACACATCTGAAAGAAAAAAAAAAAAGAGGGCAATTTACTGTTTTTACAAAAACTAGTTGTCCTGCTTGTCAAGTGAGCCTGTGACATGTAATATCCTGTCACGCAGCACAAGTTTCCAGGTGGTCAGCAAATGCTGCAGCCCTTCAGTAAATGTTTTTTAAAACTGCTTCCCTGTTGCCATTAGTTAACATCCAAACTGTGTCAGATTGGGGTTTTTTATTTGTAGACTTTCTGACAGTACTTGCTGGGGTATCTGAGTGCCTCTTGCCCAAACAGATTTACTTCTGCAACTATTTTGTGAGAGGGGAAGTTTTACTAACTCTCTCTTCCAGTGGAGAAATGGAGACAGCCTTTTTAACACCGCAAGTTTTATGTCTGCTTCCTTTCTGGAACTCCCTTCTCTCCCCAGCCTCACCTACCTGTCTTCCACAACTTCTGCTGTGGTGTCAGATAAAAATCTATGCTGATGGCAATTCATCTTTGGAGAAAAGCAATCCCCAGATACCTCTGCAATATTCCAAGTCAGGGGAACAAGAAGCTTTGCTTTGAAATAGTATTTGAATCAGTGGTGTGTAAGATTATGAATAAGCAGGAAGTATTTAACATCATAAATCCTAATTGCTCCAAACACATTGTCTTTAGTTATCTTTATATGCTGTCTTCAAAAGCAAAACATTTTGTTCTTATGCTCTCATATTTACAGCAATTCTATGGAAATTAGTTAAATTAGCAAGTAAAATTTATGTCTGCTGGGACCCCACTGAAGTCAAATGATGCCCAAGCTAGAAAGGATTTGGTCTTTTTTCAGTGACAACAGCATATCTGACTTGCAAAAGGCTGTTTGAATCCCTAGGGAGAAAATTCCTTGTTTATGTGTTGTTGAAAGAGGCCTAAGAATAATGTAATGGTTTCCAGAAAAGCTGACTTTCGAGGTGACAGAAAAAAAATTTATGTCTTCTTTAACCCATCCAATGTTCACACAATTACTGATTTTTCCAATATGTGCACTTCAGTCAGTTGAGTAAGGAGAACTCAGCTAGAAGGAGAAAAAGGAAAATATTAGTCTCATGGCACTCACAGCTGTTCATTCAAAAGATAATGCAGATGAAAGCTTCTCTGGCTCAAGGTAACTGCAGAGTCACTTTGAAAATGTCATACAAACTGATAAGGATCTGAAAATCCTGTTTCTAGTTGTTTATAAAATAGAGGGATGCTCTTTATAAGACACTGTGTAGGAAATTGTTGCAGTAAGAGTAAGCATGGTATTTATTTTTTGTATGAGCTTTGTGGTTCTTGAAGCCTGTGGTTATTATAGCAGGATTCTTCCTGGAGTCTTGTTCTTTTGATGGGTAAGGGAAGCTGGATTGGGGGGGAATAGAAGGGAATTCAGCAAGACTGCAGAAAGTATATCTTGCTAAGACTGAGTTACTCAGTTGTAGGATATTTTGTCCTTCTACAGATTTCACTCTTGTTTTCTGTATCTCACATAATGCTTTTTTATTGGCATTTCATGGTGACAAAATATTGCTTTCATAGTGCAGATTATCTGCTTGCTATACTCAGCCAGCACTTCAGCAGGGTAGACTGTTGTGTGAATTTGATAAAGAAGAAACCTCCGTATTTTCCTCATTTCCATTTAGCAAGGTAAATTGAATGGAAAAGGGGCGGAAGGAATTGTTTAAAAATCTTCTAAAACTATTTTTCTCATGCAATTTCCAGCAGAACTTTCTATTAAGAGCCTACAGAAATATCACTTACGATCTAGCAGCACTGAGCCACTCATCTTGGTACCTTAAAAATTGTATTTAACACTTGCAGTTTGCTGTGTTGAATGTAAAAACATTCTTTTTGTCGGGTTATGACCTTAAACGATGGCCATGGTCACAGCTAGTTCTGAAGCTCTGAATAGAGCTGGTCTGAGATTTATTGAGCTTGCAAAAAGAAACCAAAAATGTTTGGAGGCTGATGTTAACTGAAAGTGAATCCAACTGTTCTTTACTCTGACGAAAGTTCAGGAAAGCAAATGCGTACATTGTTCGTAAGTGCAGTTGGGGAGGTCAGAACCATTTCCACATGTTATAAACCAAAATAGAAAGGAGTGGGGACATGTCCTGGATTGGGTGGGGTAGGTTTTAATGCAGAATTTTAATTCAGGCTGGATATTTCGTTTTCAGCTAAAGAACTAGTTTGTCACAAGTGCTATAGGAGAAAAATGTGAAGAATAAAAAAAAGATATCTTATTCTTGAGTGGATTTTCAGGTTGCTGTATTAAAGAACTCATCCACTTGTATATAAAGTTTAACTGTACTTCTAATTACTGACAATCAGGATTCTGGTTTAGTTTTGTTCTGTTTGTGGGTAAGGAGAAGTGTTTACAGAGAGGCGTTTGAAGGGGAGTTGGCAGGCTTTTAAATACATGACCATTTTAAGATCATAAATCATTGAACATACACAAAGTTAAGAGCTAGTGTTAAAAAAGAAGATTTTCTTCTAAAGCTGCTAGAGCCAAACCACTGCTGTTTGTTGAGAAAAGTCTGCTGGACAAATTCCCACCTGGCTATGTATCATTGTTCTAAGGACTCTGAGCCATGATGATTCAGAACATCATTTCTAGTCAATAGGGAAAGAGGAATTTTTAAAAACAATATGATGTTTGTAGAGTATTTTCCTAACCTTTCTATATACTAAGCTAACATTACTTTTCTTTGCTGAAAGTGTTTTAGTTGACTTTTAATTTTGCACTTTGAAACCCCATGTAAAATCTGCAGTGTGAAAAAGTTGCGCAAGTTTGCTGAATTGGAAATTATCATATTCCTTGGGCAGCTCCCCGAGCAAGTCCAGGCTTTTGTGCTGTCCAGAGAATTAGTATAGGCGGCATGTATTTGTCAGTGTAAAGCCTTCATTTGTGCAAGAACTCTGGGATCTTTGTGTTCTGGCATTCATGATTCATTGCCCAGCATGTCAGGCAATTCCAGTGCTTTCAATATGCTTGCAGTATCCTGCAGCATTTAGAATAGGAAATATCTGCACCATTGTTTCAGAATGTAATGCAGCAAGTGATGAAAGAGCTCTGATTCACAGTTGTACAAGCAGCCTTTCATTAACCAGCATCTGTGCTGTATCCTGTTTGCTTAATATTTATTTATGAATGGGAAAGTTCACAACTTACAGCACTTTCAATGGCTGTGGGACTCAGGTGTTCTCTCAGCACAGCATAAACGCTTGGAGACATTGGAAGAAGATCTGATGGAGAATGTGGTTCTGTAGAGTCATTTAAGCTAAAAAGAGTAAAAAAAAAAAAGCAAAAATAATCCAAGAAAAAACTTGAATCCCCCTCTATGCATATCAGTGGACTATGATGAACATTTTTTAGGTTTATTAACCCTGTACTCAGGCTTGCTGCTGGCCCTGTAAGCTCATGCAACAACCTGATATACGCTTAAAAATGTAGGAGATTGAGTCAGGTATGTCCTCTTTCCTTGCTCCTAACATCAGTTGCTGGGAAAAGAAAAGGAGTCAGTGAAAGAAAAGTGCAGAGGAGAACATATGTGGCCCGAAGTTTAGAGTCCGACTAGCTGAGGGCGAAAGGCCGACGCCCCTCTGCAATTCCTGGCCAGCACCCTT